TTATGTACTCATTAGTCAGCTTTAGTAACTCATAGCCAATCTTCTTTCCTCTAAATTCTGCCCAATTCCCACTCCACTGGATAATTTTTAAAGCCAGTCCCAGACACACTACGATTTCATAAAGAAATATTGTGGTGGCCATGCTCATCAATGCCCTCACCTCATTTTCAGCAGATGACTCTACCTCTTCCTTACACATGAACTGCAGCCACCAGACACTGTATAAAACCCTCACCTTTCCACTACCAACAATATAGGCTCACCTGAATCTGTACCCTGCCCTTCCTTCTGTCAACAAGTTAGCCCATTTATCTAGACTCTGGATCTGGGCCTTCATTAGGAACTTTAATTTTGTTCATGAATTTTGTTCTCTTTATCCCATACCTTCATCCCTCAACTGAAATACTTTGCCCAGGTCTAAGCATGTTTGCCTGAATCACTCCATCTCTACCTCTTCCCCCTCCATTTTAAGTCAAAATTCTTAAGAAAGCAACCAAACTTTTGCCTATTTCCTCTTCTCTGATTCATTCACAAGAACAAGTTTTTCCAATAATTTTTACTTCTTTACATATTCAGGAGAGGGGGAAAATTTCGTTCTCTAATTTGGCCTAAGTATTATCAACTTTTGTTTTGTATGTGTTTTTATGAGGTTTAATGACAACTATTTGATTTGTTGACTTCTACTGTTGAAACAGCATCCCCAAGCCATAACGCTCCATAAGTACCCCTGCAGACAACTGTGTTTGGGAAACATTGCATCCTATAAGCAGATCCTATAGATTCACAATGCACATCACATTTAAGGCTTTGAGAAGCCACCTAATAAAGACACTAGGAACCCAGTGCTTTCCATCTTCGTTATTATGGGCCTCTAATATTCCATAAAATACAGTTGAGATAATAATGTGATGCTCATCCTTTCATGGAGAAAGGCAGTCTAAACAAAGAAATAAATATCCTTTTAAGGAAATTCTAAACTGTAAGTATTCTGTCACAAAGGCAAGCAAAACTAGGACTCTGCTACCTCCGTTGGGACCAGGGTCAGGAGGGCCAAGACTGATGCCGCCCCATGAATTCCCGCTCCATCCTCGCTCCCGTTTAACCTTCATCTTCCTCTTCCGGTCCCACTCTTCTCTCTGCTGGATCATGTCAGCCTCCACCTTCTCCTGTTCTTCCTTGCTTCTTTGGGCAATGGTCTGCACTGCTCCGTTTTTCATAAGAGGGACATTCAGACCAGGCCACAGGAAACCATAGCGCCCTGAAGGTTTAACAATATAAACAAGTAAGAATTTTAAGAAAGCATTCATTTTTCGAGTGTTAAGATGCTAAGCAATGTGTGTACAGATGGCGACACACTGTTAGTGGGAATTTAAGCTCATACCATCACTTGGGCAGGTCACTTGCCACTATCAAAAATTTAAATGTACCTACGTACCCTGATAGCTAGTAATTCCACTTCATGGTATTACCTAGAGAAACACTCACATACAGATATAAAGCACATGTGTGCTTGGAAAAGGATGTCCACTGAAATGTTATTTGTAAAGGCAAACAATGCAAGTTAATGCAAATGTCCAGCAGTAGTGGAATGGTTAAATGAACTATGGCACATCCAACATATAAAACATTCTGCACTAAATTGAAAGAACAAGGTAGCTCTCTAGGT